TATATACATACATATAATGGTGTTTTAAACACTTCCCACACTCTTGGAATATTCTAAACAATGTTTCTAAACTTTAAGGCTGTAAAGGAGCACAGAATGTTATGATCTCAGCTCCCTGCCTCCTCTGCTCTTTACCACCTGCAAGAGCTCTGGGCCACGCCCACTTCTCAGCTTTGCATGCAGAACAGCTGATCAGCTGCAGTAGGAAGTTTATCCTGCTGCAGTAAGGGCTGCACAAAGGTGCAGGAGGAAGCTTTTTCTGCAGGAGGTGCTAAATAATTTATTTTAAATAAAAATTCCGTTCTGATCGTTGGGCTCATCCATCAATCAGACAGTTGTGTGTCATGTCCAATCTTATTTTGAAAAACCACGAAAGAGCGAGTCTTCGATAAACGAATCACCAAGTAGCGAGGGACTACTGCACCCAGAGGAACCCACACATGCACGAAAATAACATACAAACTACACCAGTAAGGCCCTGGTTGGGATTTGAACCAGTGACCTTCTTGCTGAAAGGCAACAGCTCTACCAACTGAGCCACCGTGCTGCGAACCAAGAGTTGTAAACATTAACTGTGAGGATATCAAAATGTTACCGTATTTAATAAAAAGCTAGGAACATGATATTCACAATGTTTTATATTCTGACTAGATTTATTCATATTTTCTATGTTTAGAGAACACTCAAAAATAACCAAGAACGACCCACAGAGTACAAGAGTTCAACAGCTTCACATGACATTCACAAGACTGCTTCATAAAAAACTAAACGTCACTGTGAAAACCACCGGCAGGCTGAAGTTCTCTTTTATTCTCAGGGTAGAGGTAATTTCTGTGAACGTGCGAGCATGCATAAAATCCAGAGTACAGCCTTAAGAAAGGGACAATCCCACACTCTTTCTGTCTGTGATAAGCCCAGGGAGTATTTAATCAACGTGAGTTTTCCTGTTAGTGATAGTTTATTAATGAATGCACTGCTGAGAGCTGTGGTGCCTGTCAGGCACTAGTTTGCTGATAAGGGAAACCGGCTCTGGCCTTTAGGATTACAATCTGCAACACGAAAGCTGATTAGCTTTGCGGCCTGCTTGAAAGCTAACCCTAATTACACAAAGGCTTGCGCCGCTTACTGGTTTACTAGGTTGAGTCAAGGAAAGATAGTCAGACGTTGTTATGCACGTTTGATTGATAGAAATATCATATTGCATGGTTTCTTTTCTAGTTATTTACCAGATAAGACAGTGACAGGAAATGTGTTCATGCTGACTTCTTTAAGGTTTAATGTTTCTGAGCTGATCCAAAACTACTTGTAATCAAAACCAGTAACATCCTCTATGTGTTTGATGATAATGGTTTGATGCAACTTGGATAGAAAATAATGGAACTGGTGCACAAATAAGATAATTATACAAGGTTTCTTGAGAGACCACCAGAGTGAGACCATTAAATCATGCAAGATGTTCTTGTTTGGGCTTGGCAGATGTAAATATTGATTTAATTTTAACGATTTGATCAATGGATTGATCCTTCAAATCAGGGGTGCCCAATACGTCATTTGCGATCTACTGGACAATTGCAAAGTTATTATGGGTAGAAGGCATGGCATTAAAAAGATAGATGTCAGCCTATCGGGGTTGGGGGGGGGGGGGCAGCCTACATGTCGGGGGGCAGGGGATCTGGGGGTCCTCCCCCAGAGATTTTTGAAAACAGTCGATGCCATTTCAAGGATTCAAGGTTCTTTATTTGTCATACACACCACATGTGGTACATGTGGTGGAACGAAACTGTGAACACAGGGTCCCAGTTACATCCAACAAAAGTATAAAACGTAAAAGAAAAACAGTAATAATATCTAAGATATGAACTAAGAAAAATGTTAAACTAAAAATACACTAAGCACTAGTAGCATAAAAGCAATAGTTCCTGCAGTCTGGTGTATTTTATAAAGATTTAGTACAGTAGATGAACATGAAACAAAAGATGTAAACTCATTACTGAAATGACTGCAAAGAGTTCATAATGCAACTTCGCTGCAGCTCTGCAGGCGAGGGGCGTTCACTTAAGGACAAATTGAGGTTGCTGATTGGTCAGTTGCTGACATGCCTACTGGATTGATTGACAGGTGTGTCTAGGATCCGACCACAGAAAAAAAAATCATTGATTTTACTGGCCCATTTAGGACTGTTGTCATTTATTCCATATTTATTCCATATTTTGGTGAATCTAAGGTTTGAGAAATGTTTCCTTACACAATCCTAATGATGGTTTCTTTTTTTTTTTCTTCTTTTTTTTTGGCTGAAACATTTCACCTTCCATCCAGAAGGCTTCATCAGTCAAGGAAACACACAACACAAAACTGATTCTTCCCCCAAACAGCTTACTCCAAAGTGGAACAAACCAGTTATGTTGGTGCTAAGATGGTCTCTTTGGTATGCCCTTTCCTCCGTTGCCGGCCCTCTTCCATATCGACAGTCATGTCAAACTGGTTCAAAACAACAAAGTCCATGCTCAATAATCCAGGTATACAATCCAACAATTTTCAGTCAGGATACCTGGATTATTGAGCATGGACTTTTTTGGTTTTGAACCAGTTTGACATGACTGTCGACGAGGAAGAGGGCCGGCACCAGAGGAGGGGGTGTGCCAAAGACACCATCTTAGCACCAACATAACTGGTTTGTTCCACTTTGGAATAAGCTGTTGGGGAAAGAATCAGTTTTGTGTTGTGTGTTTCCTTGACTGATGAAGCCTTCTGGATGGAAGATGAAATGTTTCAGCACAAAAAAGAAAGTGTCCAGATGACCAGACTGAAAAATGTTGGATTGTATACCTGGATTATTGAGCGTGGACTTTTTTGGTTAATCCTAATGATGGTTTCTTTATTTTTCTAAGTGCTGTTAAAATTTCGGGGCATTTGAGCACCCCTAAAAAGAGGCTAAAATCATCCCTGAAGCCAGTTCATATGCAAAGGCCTTGTCCTACTCCGCTCCTGCATAGTGCAAAATGTTTATTTATATTTTTGTGTCTTTTAATAAATTTGCCCATGACTTTGAACGTTTAGGGATCGAGATTTTTTTAAGAGCAGAAGCGGAAATGTGAAGCGACAGCTCTGATGTGATATTAGGAAGCTTGTTATGTTTAAAAATAGTGTTATTTTCAGATAACATATCCAATATAAGTTTTATTTGTTCAAGGCAGTCAAATTTGTTCATAAATTTATTATTATTAGGCCTGAGAGTCACTGGATCCAAGCAAACAGTTACTGAAACACACCTGTCAAAATAAGAGAGTTCCCAGATCTTGTTACAGCAGGATCCAGCTCAAATTAAGCCTTGGGCGGCTGCAGCCCAATGTTTTTCTGCACTAACAACAGTTATAATAAATAACAACAGTTATAATAAATAACAACAGTTATAATAAATAACCATAGTTATAATAAATAACAACCGTTATAATAAACAACAACATTTATAATAATTAACAACAGTTATAATAAATAACAACAGTTATAATAAACAACAACAGTTATAAT